ATACTTATATTTAATAAAAAAATGGTTCTGTTGAAGACTCCAAAAATGCGTTGTGCGCTGAACCATCGACATTGTCATCAAACGTATTGGTCGATAGGGGGTCAAAAGTGTTGGGTCTTTGTTTGGCTTTGGTGGCGGGACCAGGGTTGCCACATCTTTTGAAAAAACTTTAACTAAAGTTATTATAGACAAATCCAGTGACGCAAAAATCAGCTCGAAAATTTTTTTAAATATTCATAATGTTTTTAAAGTAAACATTTTTTCAATTATTATTTTTTTTTGTATAATATTGTTTGCGCTTTAACTAAAACCTTACAAATCAAGGATTCTAGCTATTAATAACATTAGAAAAATTCAAATATATTTCCTCTAAGTTTTGCAGTTTCCACTCAGAATTTTTTGAACATTTTTGGTTATGCAGTTTTATAGCCCATGGAATTTAAGTGTCTATAACCAACAATATGCTGTTAAAAATTTCCGTTGATTTTTTTTAATTCTTTTTTTTTTTATTTAACAACTGCCATTTATAAAACCTGACGTTGATTTTTTTTTGTATTTTTTTTTTTCAACAATCGTAATGTGTAATTACACACCTGTCCATTTTTTCTCTTTATTTAAAGAATTATTTAAAATAGTTAGGCAATCAAAAGCTCCTAAAGATTCCAGTAACATGAGTTTTGAATGGAGCCCGATAAGTTCGCCTTTTATCGATATATACACATTTATATATAAAAAGTGTGCATTAAAGCGTTCGAAAATTAATGCAACAAAGTGGACTACACTTTTGGAAAGAAATTTATAAAATATAGATAACTTCGAAGAATAAAGCGGGAGCTAAAATTTTATTTGTTTTTCAAACAAACTATTTTAACAACAATCTATCAAAATGGGAAACAGTTTTCCGTTTTACCAACCCAAAATTTGTCTACCAATTTTGGTAATAATTTACCAAAGTGGTAACCCTGGTAGGGACTATGACGACCACTTTCCATAACTTTGGGAAATATTTCCGGGTTATAGTTACGTTGAAAAGATTTCTGAGGTGTATAATTGCATTTTCAGGTAGTTTTTTTTTTTTATTATCGCCCCAGATGGTATAGCCAGGCGCTTTGTTATTCTTCACTGCTTTTATTTGCAGTTTTATTTCGATCACCGTAACGTTTTTAATTTTTCTGTTTAAACCTTGTGGTGAGCTCCTTTTAAAAGCCGCAGTTAAATTGCTTTACGGTGAACGCTTCAAAATGCCCAACTAATTGGGAAATATGTGCATGGATGATATTTATGCAAGAGCTTACTAAGTCACAAATGAATTTAATAAAATTTACTAACAATAACACGTTAATTTAGATAATATAATATTTCTCTCACTCATTCGAAATTACTTTCTCGCCTGCAGTTCAGATGATTGCTCGTATTTAAGTACATATTTGTATTTGTCAGTTTGAATCTTATTCATAGTTATCATTTCCACTTGAATATCTGTGCAATGTCGTAAACTTCATGAAATTGGTTATTGTTATTATCATAATTGCTATTGCGTTTATTACAGCTGTTAAATCATTGTTATACGAGAGTGAGCAGCTGTCGAATACATAGCATGAAATGTGGATTTAAGCATACCTACATACATACATACATATGTACATGTGTAGATACTTGCATTTGTGGTCAACTGAATTACCTCAAATAATCACTTTAATGATAGATATGTACATATATGATGAAAGTATGAAAGTATGGAAATGTGCACAAATGCATCACACATTTGTAGTAGCATTTCTGTTTGCAATTAAAATCTCCAGCCATCAGTTGTTATTCACATTTGTTCATTTTTGCTCTGTACGATGCCCTGGCGTCATGCGTATATCCTTAATATCCTCTGAGTTTTCTTGTATACACACACACACATTCATACGTATGTATGTATGTATATCCATATGTATGCATGCATGCATATGCTAGTTATCGTGTTATTACCCACTTGTGTTGGAGCATTATGTTCATTTTGCTTATTAATGCAATTTTGATGCAAGTCATATGGTGTATGGTGTGTGTATATACACTTGTTCAGTGTGCACATATTGTACTTTAAGCAAATGCAATTACAGGAACAAACAAAACTTATACGCACACATTAATAGGTCGAGCTTTGTTCAGATGGTCGTCGTAAAATTAAAGCTACAAATAAATACATAAATGAATATTTATTTAACCACTTGCATGGAAATTCACATATATGTACACATAGGTACATACATACATACATACTTACACATTATTTTCATATATACTCATTATCTTTACTTGGCGCTAAAATTTTAGTTAACTATTTGGCCGAGCTTCTCCTCCAATTTGTGGTTTCCGTCTTGATGTTATTACACAAATCAAAGTATCTACAGTTGTATGCTGACTCTAAATGGCCGATAATTTCTCAAGCAGTTTTATATGTTAAGGACTAACTTTATTAGCTTAAAAAAATTAAATAGATTAAAGGGGCATTCTCAATTCCTATTCATCCTTGTGAACCCGAAAAAATTATTTCATTTGGTACTCATACTTTGTTTTACATTGCACTGAATTTTTTTTAAATAAATTTTGGAATTAACCATATCTTTAAAATTATAACGAGCTCTAAGCGCCAAAATAAAGTAAGCGAAATTTTTTTCAAAATTTTCGTTTTGATGCAGAAATGCATCTAGTTGATCTAGGAATATTTCAGAGAACTGCCCATTTATACATATGCAGTTAATTATGTAAAATGTGAAGTAGACTTTTATAAAAAAATGTAAATTTTGGATAAACAAAAGGAATATAGACAAAACTGGTCGAATTCAGGCGCTTCTTTTATTTCTACCACTAGAATTATGAACTTATTTCAACCAGAAAATACATTTTTTGACTTACTTTTTTGCATCGAGCTTTTTTCGACATACCTTAAATTAATTTCATATAATTCATATAAATTTAATTACTGTCTGGAGTTTTATTACTTATGAAATAATTTTCACGTAAGAACGTTCCAAACGCATTTACTTATTATTTATTATATGGTAGGAGAGCTTCTCAAACCATATTGATGCAAGTTTTTGATGTTAAGTCTTGAAAAAAAAATAAATATCTGAATCCCGGGACTGATCCCGGAATCCCGGGATTAAACCAACGACATCCTGAAAATCTCGGGATCGCAAAAATCGAAAAAATTAACATCCCTAGAGCATACGTATGTTCCTGATGCACGTATACAGTAATTTTGAATAATCCTTGGCTGGCCCTCAGATAACCCCTAAGTTTACTAGTTTTAGTTCCTAATAAGTCTCTTTCTAATATTTTCTACAGTTTTTTTTTTAACATTACCGTCTTATTTTAAAGAACCGGTGGGCCCACTGATCGATCTTAGGCTTAGGAGAATGCGTCGCCGTTAGATTGCTTAATATTGCCAGATTTTAGGTACGGTATAATTGAAATGTGGAGGATCGAATCAAAAGATGACATTTCGATTTGTCGATATTTTTTTAAGTTTTCTCTTTAATATTCAGCGCTATTATGGTCGTCGATGTCGATGAAATTTTCATCCAAAAACAGCTACTCTGACCACAGTATTTTTCCGAGAAACACCTTTCCTTTTCGGGGAGGTGAAAAAACTATATTTAATACTTGCGCCGGGAACTTAGACTTCTTTACTTGTTTTTATTTAATATTATCCTCTTGTATGTTTATTTACTATATACATCCTTATATATTGGAAACTAAATTTTAAGCGTCACATATACATACATATTAATTTTTATGTCCGACCAACTTCTATGAATGCTGCGAAGAATAAATTAACTAGTTTGTTTTTTTGACCATCTATGGATTTTCATTTTCCCATTGTGTTTATTCGCTTAACAAAAAATAAATATGTGCATACACTCACTTGATGAGTAAATACCACTAAAATACTCGGAGTCTTCAACATTTACGCAATTTTTTTTTCTGTTGCTCACACTTCATTTCAATTGTCCACCCTTATGAAACCATTGAAACTCTGTCCAACTGTCTAAAACACCTGCACTGTTCAGCGTTTTCTGTGAGTGCTTTTGTTTTGGCTACTTCTATGTATTCTGCCTGACAACTTAAGTGTCAGACAAACAAAATTTATGTACAAAATATTAAGCCTCAAAATAAATTGTTGTGCTACGTGGGTAAATGGGAGTATGGGTTCATGGGTATAGCAGATTTTTTTTTGTATGTATGCATTGGGGTGTTACAGAAATTTTTTTAACGAAATTTTATACTTTTTTCACATCGAAAAAATTCAATCTCAACACCCTTAAAACGGTAGTTCGGCCGTCCGGAGAACCGGGGAAGGTTACAGGGATAAAACCGAGCGTTTTGCGTCTTCCGATAATAATATCACCACCTAGCGAATAGCCTCGGATGCGCTTGCTTTGGATAGCCACTAGCCAAGTCTGTCTCGTCGATTAAGAGGCACCAGGTCTCGATGGAGGGCTTCGTTAAGGCGAAGACGACGAAACCCGACTCCACTCCCTCCTTGTACAGACACTGGCTGGTTGTATGATAATAAATCTATGGAGCTGTGATTGTTAAAACAGGATAAGACTACCCAGCAGTTCGCCTGGTGTGAGCGCGAGTTTTCTTGATTTCTTTTAGTAGAAATTATTCAGGA